ACATGATACTATTCAGAAACACACTCCATACAAACACACAACATGCACACAAACTTGCAATGTACACACACATCATGTATACACATATATCATGCATACATACACACACTATGTATACTCACAGGATGCACAAACACATGATGCACACACACACAAATAACACATATGACATCCATATACACACAAACACAGAGACACACACTATGCACATGAACACGCACACATACAAACACCATGCACACACATACAACATGCATTCAAACAAAAACACAATGCACACATACAAACACACATACCATGCACACACATATTAATAATAACTAAAAAATACGTAGGTGATAGTTTTTGAGGCATATATATATAGTTTCACCCTGGAAGCCAATTATGATATTAAAAAGAGATTTTCATCAAATCAGATATGACAAAGTTGTTAGTTTGATATTATATGAATATATTTCTTTATAGAAGAAAATCAAATCACACAATATATTTTGATCATGTTTTCCTCTCTCCCTGTCCCTCCAAGACTCTACCCATCTCCTTCCCTACCCAAATTTATGTTTTTATTTCTCATTTTCAAAAACAAACAAATAAAAACAAAGAAAATGCACACACACAAGCCAAAAACAATACCAAAACAATAGCAACAGTAACAAATCTTTCAAAAATGGAAAACAAAACATACAAGCAATAAGAAAAAAATACCCATGCAAATCAAAATGGGTCAAAAAGTCTATAAAGATATCCTGAGTTCAATTTGTGAATTCATTTTGTGTTCAATAACTACTTCTGATGATGGGAAATGTGATTTTTTAAAAACAGATCCATTACCAATTATCACAGCTGAAAACATTCCTAGGAGTAACATTATACAGATTGAGCGGGATACACACACACACAAACACATGCACTTACATATGCATGTATGTGTGTACATGCCACAGTAATAAATGAAAAGAAACTATGAATTTGCAAAAGAGAAAATAAGGATATGTGGAAGGGTTTGGAGAGAAGAAAGATAAAGAGGAAATGATGTAATTATACTGTAATCTCAAAAATTAAAACAAAGATTAAGTACAAACTCTTCTGATAAATCTAGCACAGTCAGCCGGGCGTTGGTGGCGCATGCCTTTAATCCCAGCACTTGGGAGGCAGAGGCAGGTGTATCTCTGTGAGTTCCAGGCCAGCCTGGTCTCCAGAGCGAGTCTCAGGATAAGCTCCAAGCTCCAAAGCTACACAGAGAAACCCTGTCTCAAAAAACAACAACAACAAAAATCTAGCACAGTCAAGGAGTAAAATAATTGAGGTAATTTTTTTTAACAAATAATTGAGGATTTCCCAATGTATTGAAATCATTACCACTAATGGACTCCCTTACTGTGTATAAATGGAGGTCAGTGTATTGAAGTCATTGTAAAATACATAAAAATATTTGTACCCTATAGAAAAGGGGCAAGCAATAAGATGTAAACGTTTCTTATATCAGTCTCACAGCATTGTCATGACATCACCAGTGTAGCATGCAGATGAATCACATTTACCTATATTTCTTCCCATAACTTCACTAACATCCATCTTTCTGCTGTTAATTTATGTGCCACTATAAACCAGGAATCCTTATGTTACTTTAGAGGTGTGGTATTCATGCTGACACTAGAACCATTTTATTTTTGTTAGGACAGCCTTTCAATTTTCAAGACAGGTTCTTACTATGTAGCACAAAATTGGGACTTGTCTGTTTAGAACATTTATTTATTAATCAAAGAAAGATTATCTGTAAACACTTAGCACAATGACTCAGGTAGATAGGTGTTTATCCCATAATAATGCCTGTGTGTGTGTGTGTGTGTGTGTGTGTGTGTGTGTGTGTGTGTGTGTGTTAAAATGCATGAGATTAGGAAGCAAATATGTTAAGCCTAGGTGATAAGCATGATGGTCAAATGTTGATATTTCAGCAGAATAAAATATTATGGAGCCTGGCAAAGAGGAGTGAGCTCTTTTTAATTACAGATTTTGCTTGCACAGATCTTGGCTTCTCTTAAGACCACCACTTACTTATTACAGAGTTAACAGAAATAAGAGAAACCTTACCAAGCATACACAGGGAGCACTCCTATCACACAGCCCATTCTAGAAGTACCCATCATGTTGACATGTGGCAGCAACTTTAAGCCTTTTTATTCCCAGTAGACTGAAAATCAGATTTTGGCAAGAGACAATCAATGGCTCTTAGAGTGGGGATAATGACAAAGCTCACTGCCAGTTCTCCATGAAATTCATTTGATCAAACAATAACTAGATTCTTCTTAGCTTTTAATTCCTTTACTTTTATCTCATTGTCCCTCAACTCCCCACAGATAATAAGTGTTTTGTTAAGGTAAACATAGAATCCTAAAGCATCCCTGCTGGGCACTCAGCTCCCCAAATCAATGTTTTGCCTCCCCTGATGCATTCTTAAAAACTACCTTATGTTTCTGCTAAAAATAAAAGTATGCTAAAAAAAATAGAAGCTTATTCCATATCCAGACAATGCTATCTTTATTTTAAAAGCCTTTTTGTCATCAGAGTAACACAGATAGTTCCATGGTTCTATCATAGTTTCAATGTTTGGGGCAAACTGCCTGAGAAGAAGACATTCAATTTAGTGTCTAATGAGAAATCACCCTTCATGCAAAGCATGGAGGAAATACTAAAACAAACAAACAAACAAAAATTACAAACACCTAGTATCATATTTGTCTCCTAATGTATTTTTTTTTTCTTCTCAATGAAAATAATTGTTTACTTCTTTTTGTCCAAACCTCATCTCAGTTTTGGTCACCATCAGAAATTTAGAAATCCTTAATCTAGATGACCCGGGAAGACTCTCTCTCTCTCTCTCTCTCTCTCTCTCTCTCTCTCTCTCTCTCTCTCTGTCTGTGTGTGTGTGTTCATGGGATCAGAGACTAGGAGAGTCCTGAGGCTAGTCAGATGTCCTCCTCTATCACCATGAGCAATTTCTTGCTGAACCTGAGACTTGGGTTTTATCAACTGTGTTGGGAACTATCAATCCTCTGTCACACTCTCTTGTAATTGGTCTTACATATATGTGTAGGATGTTTGGCTTGCTATATGAGTCTGGGGAATCTGAATTCTAGTCCTCACAATTATCTTTAATTATTTACCAATCTCTCTGCCCCCTAAAAGTAAATAATTTTATATTGATGCATGACTTTTCTTTAAGTTTTCAATTCTTCACAGCACATTTTACCTTTTAGGGAACTATCTCATTTATTTAGCGAGAACACTTTGCTTTCTTTTTTTTTCTTCCCAATCCATTCAAACACATACTTACAAAGGCAAAAGCATTATTTATTAATGTATCAAGAACTTTAACAGTATTGAAAATATTCCATATATTTGCAGAAAGAATGAATTCATTAAGCAATCAAATGGCTTGCCGCTATTAATTTCAAATGGAATCATAAGTTATTACTTTATTTTCTACAATATAGAAACATGTGTTCATAATTGTGAAGGTTCTGATGTCCACAATCCTGTTAAAGACTCATGCAGGTACAACCTAATGAGACTGTATTTTCCCTAGGTTATAATCTCTTATGCAAAATAAGTCATCTGTACTTGTTTTACAACTTCCACATTTCCTTAATCTAGGCATGATAGAGTGCAAGACTGATCTCATAGCCTGCTATTTATAAATGCTGTTTAGAGTGACATGCAGTGAGAATGTAGTAACTGTAAGCATAATATCGATTTTTCTATGCAAAGACCCCGCATTCTGGCTGCTTGACTTAGGGATATCACTCAAAGACAGCACAACCAAATCCTTGCCTGAGTGGTGTCTCCAACTCAAGAGAGTTTAAGATGGTGTCCTATTTTATCTAATTTTCATGGTTTCACTTTATTTTTAAAAGGAACTTGACATAATGTATGTGAAATTGATTTATGACTTTAAAAACTGTTGACACAAAACACACTTCTTACTGAAATGGAGTCACAATTTCTTCTTGAGCTAATAGCAGTGACTTATAGAATGTGGCTCAGGATGTCTCAAATAACATGATACAATGTGGAAACAGTTTCAATGAGTTTTACATTTAACTAAATAAAAGCATGTTATATGTCAAGGCACTTTTCAAATATGTGAGGGGAATATCAGGTAGATGGGTCACAGCAAACCAGGAAAATCTCAGCTAGAGTTTTCAGATGCCACAAGATGACATCCTTGCCTTTTGTGTTTATGGTCTGAAACCAAAAGGATTCAGATGATAATTGCAAGTATGGTAGACCAGAAGGAGAAATGTTCAGTGAATACTGCTAAGTGGACTAAAGACACCCTGATATAATTAGGGCCAGGATCTACAACATTTCAACTTTTCACACTTACAAAGTTTTAATCAGCATTATAAAATATTGAGCATAGGTGCAGGAGTTAATTTGTTATTGTTTGGGGAATGACTGTTCCCAAAAATTGCATCAATTTTGAAACACAAATACTGAAGCCATTTAATAGCTCCACATGCTGCAGAATTATAACATGAAATTTAATAACAGGTCATTTTAAAATGATCATGAAATACACAAGTTTTGAGGGTCTCTAATGGCTTTGAAAATGAGCAAGCATATACATAAAGAAGGAATTCCTATTTGGATATCTTTACAGTATGCCTATTTCATATTGGAATTAGGAAGGTTATGGTTTGCCCAGGATAATAAGCAAATGGGACAACTTGAAAGGCAGCCTGTACAGAGCATAATTGCAACAATGTGCTGCATACCTAAAAACGCTAGGAGAAAAGATGATATTGCTATAAAAAATAAGGACAATTTATTGAGTAACAAGATGTGTTTATCCCAATTTAGCAATTAAAGATTATACAAAAAGCCGGGCGTTGGTGGCACACACCTTTAATCCCAGCACTCCGGAGGCAGAGGCAGGCAGATCTCTGTGAGTTCAAGGCCAGCCTGGTCTCCAGAGCGAGTGCCAGGATAGGCTCCAAAGCTACACAGAGAAACCCTGTCTTGAAAAACCAAAAAATAAAAAGATTATACAAAAAGTATGAAAAACTCACATCCTCACTTGATAGTCGATAGTCTATAAATATATACACCTTTTATGATTTCAGGTAGCAACTAAAATGAATTTAATTTAAAATAAAAGTAAGGATGAGGGGATATCTCAGTGGGTATGAATACTTTTTGTGCAAACATTAGGAACTCAATTCAGATACCTACCATTCAAGTAAAATCTGGAAATGTCAGTTCACCTATAAGCCCAGCACTGTAAGGTGGTGACATATAGATCCCATAAACTTTCTGGCCAACCAATCTAGTGCATCAGTGAGTTCCAGGCTAAGTGAGAGACCTTGTCCAGGGGGAATAATGTGGACACTGACAGAATAGAATACTGACAGCCAATATACTCCTCTGGCCTCTGCACACACACAAAGGTGTATGTATACATACACCACATATGCACACTGCATGCACATTAATGTACATACATGTGCACAGCTACTAACACACTACATGCACATATATACATACACAAATGAAAAAGCAAACAGACAACTATTTGAAGACCATAAGATGAAAACAGGCTCAAATTTAATCAACTGAATGTGTTAAAAGTTATAGAGAAGATAAAGCACAAAACCAAAAAAAACAAAAACACAACACTTTTAATAAAACACAAATAAAAACAAAAATACTACTTACTTCCCAGTGTTAATAGTATCCAATCCTGTGAGGAATGTTCTCCCATCCTCTTGTGTTCACAAAGAGCTGGGATTAGGTGGAAAGACCTCAGTGTAAGAGAGAAAGAAGTGAGACACTTCAAATTGTTCAATATGGAAACAGGGAGTAAGCAGAAGGACATACAATCCAATGCCTGTATCTGAATTTCACCCACTCCTGCCTGTTTCCTGTCCATCTGCCTCCCTTTGGCTTTTGGGAGACCTTTGCATATGTTCTGTGATCTGGAAGGACAGAGGTGCCAGGCACTCTTCCATTGGTTGACTTTATTCCCTGGGATGCCACCCTGTAGCTTTCAGTCATCGTCTCAAAGCTTATTGTGTTTTTTTTCCCATTGTAAAACTTTATTATTGTGAAGTTCCTCTCAGTGTGTGTGCTGGAGAAATAGAGCAGAAAGTGTGTTCCTAGCATTTCCCCAGAGATATCAGACTGCAAAATAATAAATAAGCACGGATTGTGCTATTATAAATGACCAAGAAAAATCACAAAAAGTTGATTGCAACTTTTAAACAGACAGTGACCTAGACATGATAAGGAACTGTCAATGATGATGCATGATTGCTCTAAATTCTCTTAGTGTTAGGTATGCTGACAGATAAATATGCTTTATGATATATGTATATTGGTCTTCAAAAGTATTTGGTAAATATTCTTCAAATGCTTCTTCCATTAAAAATTGATATTTAAAATATATCTTTATAACACACACAAATTGTGTGTGAATTATTTTCTGTCTTTTTCCCTCTTTTTGTTTTGTTTTTTTTTTGATCAGTTAATGTTATAATGAAAGGTCTACAATAATATTAAATACACAGTTGCCAATGAGAGATAAGCTTTAGGTCAAAGGTAAAGCATATTCTTAGCTTATATGTTATCCTGGGTTAAAACCCAATTCCAAGAAAAATAAATAAAACAGTTAACCAATGGTAAAAAAGCACTGAATCAAATGCAATTTTGCTATGTATACTGCTTCCTACAACTCACTGAAGTATAACATCTTGTCATCTAGAAGCAGTTTCACAAATGTATCTGGACATGAAGAAACTCTGAAGAGACAAGGAAAACAGCAGTCAATCAAGACATCATCATGATAATATGAAGCAGATGTCAAATGCCATAACTTTACAATTTCCTGTCTATTTAATTCATAAGTATCAAACTAAAAAACATTTTAAGACTTACTATATTCCTGGATTGCCCTGTAAAATTTATCTTCATATTTATTGATTCAATTTGAGAACAAAGATATAAACTAAAGTGGCCTTACAATCAGCAGTCTAACAGTTAAACAAGATCTTACACTTCTTAACATTCCCATATTTTGAGCAAAAAAAAATATTACATTTGGCTGATTATTTGTAATAACACAATACCCACTGATTTCCCATCCTGAAGCCTGATACATTTGAGAAAGTTGGAGTAAGCTTGCTGTGTTCTACCTCTGATACACACCCAAGAACCATGAGTTAATGTAAGCTAAACTCAAATTATAAATTCTGGGGAAGGTGGAAGGGGATTTCTTTCTTTTTCTTTGTCCTTTTTTGTAGTAAAAAAAATAATTCAATTTCTATCTCTTGTGTTCTCATATTAGCATTGATTGGTTCTACCATGGAATTAAAATAATTATTACAAATTTCTGATTCCAAACATGTTATTGATAATGCTAATGATGATAAAGACCAATGAAGTTCCTTAAATAATGAAGTCACATATTTTGGTTTAAACATTTTCTTCTTCCTTGGCGCTTATGACATGAACATAATCCTATGTGTCTTAACCATAGATAAAAATATATTTAATCAAATAAAGAATAAGAAACAGAACGCCCAGGAAAATGCAGTTCTTGAAATTTCCAGTCAATAGAGAAACTGGTCAAAACCACTCAGGCTGGGTGTTGGTGGCACATGCTTTTAATTCCAGCACTCCAGCACACAGGAGGCAGAAGCAGGTGGATCTCTGTGAGTTCAAGGCTAGCCTGGTCTACAGATCAAGTTCCAGGACAGGCTCCAAAACAATGCAGAGAAAGCCTGTATCAAAAACAAAATAAAACGAAAACCTACTCAGGTATGTCAGAAACATCAACTTCCATTTTTCATAGGTTCTTCTGGTGGAGGCTGAGTGAGACTTCACTTACTGTTACCATCATTTTAACTCTAGCTTTTCTGGGATCCGGGTGCTCAATAACATATGTGCGAGGAATTGTCATATAACAAAGTTAATCAATAAAAAAGAAGAGAAATTATTTTGAAAAGTTTTTTTTTTTTTTTTTAAAGAATAACAGTTTCACTCCACTCTTCTGTATGGAGCTCTGAAGGGACTTACTTTCAAGGGAGACTTCCAAAATTATGAGACTGCAGTGCTGCTTTCAACATCTCCTTAATCTCCAAGGTCAGTAGCATCAGTTGAGAGGGATGATCTCGAAGTGACCCCCTGGACAGAATTACTCTTCTTTCAGTATCTCCTCCCAGAAAGCTCATCATCTTTGCTGTACGGATTTCACATATTTTGGTACTTTCAGTTTGGGTTGGGTTGGGTTCTCTTCCTATTTTCCAGAGTATCTGTGAAGACATAAGGTTAAGCCTGGGTTTAAGAAACATGCCTGAGATTTTGTAACATTTAATACTATAAACATTTACCTGTTCCATAATTATATATTTCTGTTGGTGGTCAAACCTATTGGGAATTCATTTGATCATGTTCTACTAAATAAAACCTAAGCCATTCTTTCCACAATATTCTGAAGTTATCTACTAAAATCAACAAACTTGGACAAGTGGGAATGTGTGAATTTGTGTAACTTATTATGCTTTACAAATCCATTTATGCTTCGTGGTAAAAATGTAGCCTATCTAAGAGGATTCTTTTCAAAAGCATTTTAATATTCATGTTTATTTTTCATCTTAACCTTTGTATTATTCTTACTATTCAGACTATCCACCCATGAGCTTTTAGGATTACCTTTTATCTTTTTAAAATGAAAACAAACATTTATAAACAATATTTGGGAATTTGGGTGTTGTTCTTTCCAAACTGCTTTCTGCTGGTTGGGGACGATGTCCATACCATGGGGATCATGATAAAACACAGAAATCTGGCCTTAGTCATCTATGGCTGCATCATCTCAGGTGTTTGGATATAGATTACCTTTTATCTTGAGAGTGTAAACAATCATAGCTTAATTGTAGAGATAAGAATAGTGAAGCTTCCTGCTGGAGAGGTGTATCAGCAGTTAAGAACACTTGCTGCTCTTCCAGACGACATGGGTTCAATTCCCAGCACGTACACAGTGAATCAGAATTGCCTGTAACTTTCCAGAGGAAACCATACCCTCATACAGACATACATGCATGGAAAACACCAATGCAAGTGATTTTTTTTTTAAACTCAAGCTTCATAATACCTAAATGATCACCTATATGACTCTGGTGGTCACAAAATAAAGATAATGTCCCTGTTCATCATACCAATAGGCGGCGGGTGTGTGTGTGTGTGTGTGTGTGTGTGTGTGTGTGTGTGTGTGTGTGTGTGTGTGCACTCATGCCCTTTCAAATTAAAAAATGCCTCCTTTCAGTAAAATGAAGAACACAGAAGATAGAAGATGTTCTGTGCACTTTTACCTTGTAGCTCCAGACACTGCTTTGAACAGATGAAGCAATTAGATTTTCTTTTTAAGTTAACCCTGACCCATGTTTAAAAACTATAATACTAACTATAATCTGTAACTCCAGTTCCAGGGGATCCAACACCCTCTTCTGGCCTCCATGGTCACTGCATGCATGCAGTGAAGAGACATAAAAACACATCTTTTAACAAGAGAGAGCTAGCTTGTTTTTAACAAACTTGTATTGTGACTTTAAAAAAAGCTTAGATGAGGTTTATTTGAAAACACTAACTTATAAAACCTCTTACCAAATATACAATATTAGAAAAAGCACAGCTTGTGGAATTGATTATAATATTCAAGGCTACATTTTAATATGAAAAATAGTAGAAATTAAATAGTTAATTATCCAGTAATTTAGTAAATCTTTATCTAACTGAATGCTACTTGGAGTATGTAGTATTAAACAACACTTTCTCTCTCTCTCCTCTCTCTCTCTCTCTCTCTCTCTCTCTCTCTCTCTCTCACTCTCTCTCTCTCATACTGTCCAGCTTAATGAATGTGTGTCTTCTTAAATTAGATGCTTCTTTGCATATTATTACAGAAAAGCAAAAGAATGTAATTTTGGAAAATCAGAAATTGTCATTTTGCTACCAAATTAGCAACAGTAGCCAAACATCTCAGATACAGTCATGAAAGGAAAGTAACCTAAGGTTTTGTCAGAATCTTAAAACAGAATGCTAGCTTTGAATCCACAGTGCACCAAAAGCAATAATCAGTGCATTCTGAACAAGAATTTCACCTGTCATCCTTGACATTATATCTGGTCAGATGGAGAGTTGAGTTTGGGTAAGGTATAACTCTAAAGAGGCACGATTGATGGTGGCTGACATCATAGACTTAAGGAACTGGGTCCAAAGTTAGGATATTGCCTCATGTGAAGGACTAGCTCGTTGCGACGATCTCTCCAGAAAAGCCCACTGCCATCTAGACCTTTACTTTCTATGTGCAAATGGAACTAACCTGATTCTGTTTGTTTGTTTACACCATTTACACAAAAGATGCTCTTCTAAAGAAATATCTGATTGTTTCATTGTATTTGATCTTTGTTCCAATACAGTGTTGATAGTCATTATGTTTTACTTTTCTCATTACTATTATTATTTCCTAACTCTTTTACACACATGTATAATTTATCAAACAGATTTTGGAGTCCTTGAGATATACATCCATGACTAACATTAATTCCCTTTGAGTACTAAGAATTTTCATAACATTAGCTTCAGTGTACATTTTTAATATTTGTTTCTCCAGTTGTAATGTGCAGTTAAATGGAATGCAAATATGTTCAGTAGCATCTAGAAAATGGCAAGGAAATGCCAAAAAAGAAAGCCAAACCCCTCAGCATTTTGAAGCAGATAAATAGGCATTTTATCAGATTCTTTTTTAAAACAAATTTGCCTTTAATTTTGAGAATTTTAAGTACTAGCCATCAAAGGAATTATAAAAATAAATGAATATTAAACAATAGTAGAGTACTGTAATACAAATATGTAAACAAATATGGGGATAATAAGATATTTTATTTCAATGATTAAATATCTCCCTTTCAAAACAAATGTTTTTAATGTATACTCTATCAATTTCATTGTATAAATTTAAACTTAAGGTGAATTTTATTTTTCCAGAGAAAAGCAATATAAACATAAAACATGGCAATGTTAGATGTTAGAATAGGCTTCTAGTTGATTTTCATGGTTTGATCTTTGTTCCAATACAATGTTGATAGTCATTAGCATAGACTTCTTCATCTATTGTTTACATGCAGTCTTCAAAATCATGTTATAATTTCCTGTGAAATGTGCACAATGTAAAACAGTTTTTCTGCTTGTTTAGCAAATAGTTTCTGTTAGATAAAGAAATAAAACCTTGAAGAAATCAATGTCAACTTTTCTCAGTAAACATCAGGAAATAGGCTGCTCAATTCAAAACATGTGTTACTATGTACTAAGAACATATACTGGCGCTCTTCTGGGGCTTTACAAGTATTTCACATGTGTCATGTTTCATATTAAACCTCACAACAAGGTTAATGTAGCATCCCATTTTCATAGGAATTTGGGAGGAACGGTATTTTTTAAAAGGACTTCAAAGAAGTTAAATAGTTCAGTAAAATTCAAGCATTTAAAGAAGCAAGGAACTGAGTCTAACTTGTTTCAATTCCTGAGGCTCTGGTCTTTATAACTTGTCATATCATCTCCTGTCACAGTTGAGAGAGCATCAGGACCAAGAAGATGTGGTACTGAGTCAAGAACCCATGTGGTCTATAGTCTGAATTACTGAGTATACTTCTGAAAGAGACATGATTCTTTAGCCTTGCTAGTTTAAAGAAAATGACTAGAAATATCACGTATGATGACACTATCATCAGAACCATCTTCCTTAGATTACTTTTTTTTTCAAATTAAAGATTGTTTCATCTTATTTTCCTGGATAAATCTTAAAATTTTCAAATAAACACAGTTAGTTTTCATTTTTTTCTGTGTAAAAGTTTTCAAAGCACTATTGAAGAAATTATTGTAAAATAAAGCATGAATGCTTCTTAAAATACATTTTCATTTTTAAATTAAGGTCTGGTTTACAAATGTATACAAAATTAACAATAGTATTTTCACTGTTTAAAGCTGATAAAACTTTTTTTTAACCTCTGGTGAACAGAGAGAGCAACAAAAAATGCTTCCAAGGTCATTGGTGAACTCAGTAATTTCTAATAACAAGTAAATTAGAGATGGCTTCCTTTTGGACACATTTGCCTTATCCATTCCATGTTTCTTCACTAAAACTATGATTCCCATTGCAAACATATCTCATAAGAAGGTGGCTGCTTATAATCCCCCTTTCTTTAAGAAAATATGTTCAAGTTTGATTCAATGAAGCACTTTAAAAGAAAATCCTCCTTGAATTCCTGGAGTGATCTCAGTAACATACAAGCTGCTTTTGATTAGAGTAGGATTAGAACTGACATCAAGTTCAAGATATAAATGTATGCATAACTAAATCCAGTCACTGCTTTTAATTTTTCTCCATTAAGTTCTCCCATCTCTATGGGCTTCGGAAATATCATGGCACATGCCTTTGATGCCAGCACTCAGTAGGCAGAGACGGTGGAGTTTGAGTTTAGCATCCTCTACTTAGTACATTCCAGGCCAGTCAGGGCAACATAGTGAAACCATGCCTCAAAAATCACTAAGTTTTAAATATGTGATAGTAAAATAAGCCTGGATATGAATATCAGAAGACCTGGACTTGAATAGTAGTCTCATAAGTAGCTTAACATATGGTAATCCTTTATGCCCTTGTCTAAAATATAGGGATGAGTGTACCTCCAGAGTCTGGGGGGAGCAAATATCATAACACAAACATTTGTACATAGTTTAGAAACCATTACTTATGCTCATCTAAATATATACAGCAATGCAGTGGAATAAAGCATTGGAGAATATAATATATGACTAACCCATTTAAAAAGCATAGTACAGAAAACAAGTCTCCTTGTACTATGAACTTCACTAACAAGTCAGTGAAACAGAGTGATACTTTTTAGTGAAGTATTTATTTTGCTGTGCTGTAATTTATTGTTGTAATTATAATTATTAACACAATTCTGAAGCTACTTTGGCTATTATTTCCATAGTGCTTGTCTCTAAAATTATTTTCAAGTGATTCAGGACAGAATTGTATGGCTTGTAACCTCAATCACAATTCAAGTCATCTCATTTTCTACTGATAAGACCAAGGGGTTTCCACTAAGAAAACAATTTATATTTCCCTAGCAAAAGCTAGGACTCCGTCAACTTGCTATCTGTGTCAAATAAGAAATCATGCCACTGGGGAAGAGAGAGGGGGGCTCTTTCTGAATTTCTCTCTTGCTCATATAAACTTAATCAAGACTTGCAATTAATTTTTGAAATTGTTCTGTATCGACCCTAGTGTTTGAAGCTTCATTTTCTGCCTCTGGGTCCCATCAGTAAAATCCACACATCTCCCTGTTAGTGGAGCAGCTGGCTTTTAAAATCTGATGTCTTGTAGCTCTTATTTACAATCCTAATCACATCATTGATTTCAGTAATCTTTTAGTAAGAGTGGTTATTAATGTTGTCAAAGGCAGAAACTAGGATTCACTATGGTTTTTTTTTTTGTTTCTTTTTGTCTCTTCTTCTTTTTAGTGATCCTTGATAATTAAGATGAAGCTTAGCAATACGACTTTAGAGGCCTCTGGTAATTAGCCATTTCCTTTGGTTAAGTGTGCAACCCAGCAGAGGTTACTTCACTGACAGTGGTATACACCACCAAGAAAGACCCATTCTAAAGTTACAAACAGTTAAATGAAAGTGCTGCAAGTAATTCTCATCACAACTCAGATGTAACTAAATATTTTCAGTTTTCAAACTCAAAATACTTATACCATATAAAAGCTTATCTTATTCTGAATGAAACTGGAGGCAGTCCATGAAATATGTTTTGTTCGCAAAGAGTCCCCTTACACATAACACATACACACAATACTAAGTTGTGTGACCATTTCATTAGCTCACATGAATCTCCAAATGCAAAATAATTTTTTCAGCATAAAAAGATAGGCTAAAAAGAACATGGAGGGGCCAAGAGACATTTAGAAATCAGACTTTTCAATATCCAGCACAATGACAGAAATGGGTGAGATGAGGTAACAAATTCTGAGTTTTCAGAAAAGGAGTTATTCGGCAGTGGAAACTGCCATTCTAAACTGGAGCTGTTGCCTTTTAAAAGATGGTGGGACAGCATAAATGTTCAAACGGCTGTTCTCTTCCTCTAAAAAAAAAATGTGTAAAGATCTGACAAAAAATTGTTTATTTGGTGTTCATTGCTTTCCCATCCCCATACCAAGGGAAATTATACACCACTATATGTGTTTGGCATAACTATCAAAAGCCAATGCCCAATTTAAAAATACCCCTGATCAATTTCTCTTATATGAGGGTATAGTATCTGAACTGAAAAGGTATTATTAGAAAATGATATCTGGAGCATTAGGATGTATAATTCATGTTGCTTTCATTTGCTCAGACCATTGCAAAAATCCATAAATCATTTTCTTGCTTATGTATTGCTTAAGTGCAATTTGTCATTTTGCATTAGAGGCCCGCCTCAGCCCATCCAGTGCTTTTAATTCACTGTTTAGAGTTTAACAAAACACTGGCCTTGTTGGATGAATGGAAAGACGTTGCAATGTGGAGCCACACCAACACTTAATAGGTTAAAGAAGCAAAGCTGTACATTTCTACTTTGAGTATCAAGAGAGTAGAACTTTGTGGAATTCCAAGCCCCAATAATAAGAAGCATCAAATTCCACAAAGGGTTCTCCATTGAGTCCAAAGCCTTACACAGCTAGTAGTCACTCAATACCTCCAGGAGCATGTGATACAAATCATTTCCAGAACTAATCCACACCAGCCCTTTGTACAAGTAAATGGAGGTATTTTTGTGAGCTTAGTTCCTTGCCTTCCACTTAAGTTGTGTTTAGCTACTGTATGACAACCTTTTCTTGGCTATCTGTAAAATGTGCCACTACACCAGATCCTTGGCATTGATACTGTGGGTTGGAATTCTTGGGAGTGATAAATGCAGGGAACCATACAGCTCAATCCTGGTGCTATCTAACATTTAAAACCATCCTTATTGGTGCATGTAAAACCATTCCTTCCAGTTCTTACAAAGTGACAGGACCTCAGATTTTTCCCCTCCAAGTTCTGTGCACAGTGCAATAATAAGAGGCTTGTAGAACAGATTGCTTTGGAGTCACGTTACATCACAGCAAAGAATCAATTATTTAAAAGCTAGTTAGCAAACCTACCTCTCCTGCACTCTCCAGCAAGAGGTAGCAGACAAGAAAGCAACCCTATTATTTAGTTATCATGCTCTTAGAGATCCTTGGTGCCCTCTTATTTCTGCCTCACTTAGACATCTTAGACATATACATAAACATATGATGCATTGCCATATTCACACATAAACTAAAATTTTCATGAAAACCGACTTTTACACTCTTTCCAAATGATTATTAACCCCCACTCCCATCCTGACATGCATTTTGTTGTGGCACAGACAGCTGGAGCTCCTTGGGTGCAGAGGCCAAGGGAGGAAGATTGCAAGACTGCATGCACATGTTTGCTTCTCCCACAGCACAGCAGTAAAGCAGATTCCAGGGACAAAGTACACAGACTGCTCTGTACTTCAAAGAAGCCACGCCCTCCCCCAGACTGCCGTCGTCTATAACTGTGACTTCGCTAAGTATTGAGACAAAATAGGATGAAAAAAAAGGGATTAAGAAATGTAGAGGGACAGGGTGTCTGCTTAACTGCTACAAAGACAGAAAACATATATGTTAGGCCCAAAAGACAGTTTTGAAAGGAAATTTTTAGGTACTGTTTTTGACTTCAAGATCATAGGAATGGTTTCTTTCAAAGACCTTATTATAATGCCCACCTGCAAATGTTGACTGCGAAAAAACTGCTCTTGCAATCTTCCTTCGATGGAGTTTCCTCAGGGAAAGCAGAGGCCCTGGATCGCTTTTATTTGGCTGTGAAGACTCTACTGTCACCCCTACAGTCCAGGGACTGGCGCCTCAGAGACTAAAAGTCAGTGAGGTCAGACCTCTGGAGAAGCCTGCCTTTGCTTTGCTGGCCTGGACTCCAGCCTCTGTGACCCGCGAAATCCAGCAGAGCCCCCAACAGGCAAGCCCTAACAAAAAAACGGGCTCCACAACAAAAATCTCGCTTGCCATATGCTGCTTTCGCCGCTAGGAGACGCCTGTAACCCACGTTTCTGGAGAAGGTCCCCAACACAGCTGCCACCACCCCAAAAAAAAAAAAAAAAAAAAAAAAAAAAAAAGCAGCACAAGTGTTACAGTGGATGCACTGATTATTTACAGGGAAATCTGGCCATCTCTCCACGTTCTCATCCCCACCTCGGGAAGCTCGCTGGCTTTTTGCAAACGCCCTAAGTCACATCAAACTTCAAGCTCCTTTGCGAGGCGTAAACCCGCTCTCCCAATACATTTGCTTCTGCACTGTCATTCCGCATGTCTCTGACACATAAACATGCACACACACACATATTCCGTTAGTATAAATAAACATATTAAAGCATTACCGTCGTTTTTTTTTTTTTTTAAACAAGGCTCTAGGTTTCTGATGAGTCAGCTTGGGGAGCTAGGAAAAAAATGCATTTTAACGATGTAGATCTGAAAGAAGGAGGAGGGACGGATAGCACAGATGGCCACAGTGTATTAATATTCGGATACGCTAGCAGCCCTTTTTCATTGATCCACAGGTCCTTTTTCTGCTCTCCCGCTCCATTCTCTGCCGCAGACGTGACGCTAAAATCATTTTAAACTGCAGCGGTTTGAGCTTGGGTTTGGCGGATGGTCAATTCACTGCAGCTGGAAAAGGCTTAGCCATGTTTGCTGGCTCCTTTTCCAGCTACCCGCTTAAAGGTAGAACCCATCTCTCAGCAAGAGCCTCTAGGGCTAGGAGTATGGGCTGTTAGATACGGACTCACCACACTGCTTCGAGCATGCCTGGGTGTCAATCACGCATAGGGACATGCGCTCCTATTTCCTCGCCGGAAGGCACTGTAACATACCTTACGGGGTGGACAAGGAACCTTCCCTCGGGTTCCAGTGGCGTTACGTTACTCTTGGGTCATTCATTACTAGGAAGCCTCGAGAGTGTCATTCTAGTCTATGGCTTAAGGGGCTGGACAGGAAATAAACAACCTATTCCTTGTGACAGAGTGTTGATTAGTACCAAAACGTATACTTTGATATTTATCCTTGGAGAATGGGCACTAATCGCACTCTCCAGCACCCGAGAGTTCGTTTGCACCGCCTTGTAACTTCACTAGGACTGGGTGTGTGGATGCACCTCTGAGTGGGCACCCGCAGCTAGTCAAGCGCGTCGCTCAGAATACTGAGGTAGCTCCCTGGGGACTCTCACCGAACTGAGCATAAGGCCAGCAAGAACCAGGGGCAGAACGAGGAATGTGCAAACGTGTCCGTGGATGACCGCAGCAGTGCACGCTCTATACCCCTGTGCGTGTGAACCGCACTACTCAAGGCCCCTCCGCCCTTGCGCCCACCCCATGGCCATTCTCCAGAGAGCTGTCCCCAGTCTGGACATGGACCCTCCCTACCCCCTCTAGTATGGAAGCGGTGATGGATCACCAATAGCAAAAGAAAAATACATAATTGAAATAGAAATCAGGCAAATAAAATAAAAGCCCGCGCTCCCCACCGCTGCCTGGCGCGAGGCCAGGCGAGGCGCAGGGATATTGCAAGAGCCTCGCAGCAATGGGTGGTGCTGGCACCGGTGCCCTAGAGTGTGTGGTTTAACGATGGCGGGCTCCTATGCAAAGGGTACAAAGAAGCTCCCACTCCTTGACTAGGGTACTCACAATACGAAGCAACGTCCCCAAACGACTTAATCTACTAGGCAAGCATTTTGTGCGTAGACTTTAGGTGGGTAGACGTGAAATCATCTACCCGTCTATAGGAGCTGTCACCCCATGTCCCTTAGTCTGAATCCCTCCGCTTTGCGGGGCGGGGGGGGGGGGGGCCTTCCCTTCACCTCCGCACTCCCATTTCAGCCTCCTTTATCCTCCCCACACAACCCCTAAGGATCCTCCTGCTCTGATTGACACATGCCATTTTATGTCTGAGTTTAAATTGTCCGCGCACATCTCAGCCAGAGTCCCTTCATTAGGAAACCCCTGCTGACTACGGCCCCAGGGCAACTTTCCCCCCTTCTTGGTGATTTCTTTCCACGAGCAGCAGCAGGGAAAACACCTTAAAGGAAAAAGAATGTTAGCGTCACTGGAAACCCCGCTCCTTGGAGAGGCTACCGCCGCTGTTGCTATTATGTTTTCGTATTTGCTGATGCAAACAGGGGAACCTCTCTTATTCCCTGCCCATTACCTGCGGCTGGGGACTGGGAACTTTCCGCGGCAGAGTCCCCTGCAAGCGCCTCGGGACCTGCGGGCTGTTCTCGCTCTCACACTCACACTCACTCGGGCAGCCAAGGCGAGAGTTCTGCCCCGCCCATCCTGGCTGTTGCGTGACGTGTGTACTTGACGGCCACTTTTGCCAATGAGCAGTCGCTCGGTGGGTGGTGCTCCTCGGCGATTGGTTGGCAGAATGAGGGCGCTGCGCAAAAACAGAGAAGCGGAGCGCTCCGAGCTCAGAAACTGCCAGCCGAGATCACAGGCTTTTGAGGCTGAAGCCGGAGGCAGGATGGACTGAAAGGAAAAGAGGCAGGTTAGAGGGGAGAAGCTTGGGAAGGAAACAGCAGAAAAGCAATCTCTCGCTGTGTTTACAGCAAAGCAAGGGACGGTTGGGTCGAGGACGGAGACAAGACTATGAAAGCCAAGAAATGCAAATAGAACCAGAGAGGGGAGAAAATGTCAAGAGGAACGTCCATCCGGAGAAATGAAGAGAATGAAAGTTTTATGCTGCAGAACGACTCCGTGTTTTTCCGGCACCAGATTCGCTCGCTGTCTTTAATCCCGCTCGCGTTTGCAAGCCATTGACATCAAGAGGCATGTTCAGCGGTGCCGGCAGCATCTCCTCTTCCTTCTCTTTTTCTTCTTCATCTTCCTCCTCCTCCTCTTCCTCCTCCTCCACGTTCTCCTCCTATCAGAAAGAAGACAAACCTAGGACAGTCTTGAAATATCGAAATTGCCTCCTTGGGATTTGCCAGCGCCGCGTTGCGCCAAGACTGTCGGAATAAAGGAGGCTGACTATTGTATTATCGTTATTTTATTAATTGGTCAGTGGGAAGATTACATCTGAGCAGAAGGGACATCTGTCACCCTTTCTGCGTTAAGATTGAAAAATGAGGCTGGATTTGGGGAGGCTCTAAAATGAAGTAAAAGGAATAAAAAAAATTAAGACAGCCACAGAAGACCCCCCCACGTAGCGCACTATTTTATTTATATTTTTGAGATTATTAATTTTTGTTGCTGGGGAGGTAATCGGGTGGCTGACTGGCTACGGGGGAGCGGCTTCCTTTCCTTTGGAGATGATTGTGCTGTTATTCTTTGCCTTGCTCTGGATGGTGGACGGAGTCTTTTCCCAGCTCCATTATACAGTGCAGGAGGAGCAGGAACATGGCACTTTCGTGGGGAATATCGCGGAAGATCTGGGCTTGGACATTACAAAACTTTCAGCTCGCAGGTTTCAGACTGTGGCCAACTCACGGACCCCTTACTTGGACCTCAATCTGGAGACCGGGGTTCTGTATGTAAATGAAAAGATCGACCGCGAGCAGATCTGCAAGCAGAGCCCCTCTTGTGTCCTGCACCTGGAGGTCTTTCTGGAGAATCCGTTGGAGCTGTTCCGAGTGGAGATCGAAGTGCTGGACATCAATGACAACCCTCCCTCCTTCCCGGAGCCGGACCTGACAGTAGAGATCTCAGAGAGCGCCACGCCAGGCACCCGCTTTCCCTTGGAGAGCGCCTTTGACCCAGACGTGGGGACCAACTCATTGCGAGACTATGAGATAACCCCGAATAGCTACTTCTCGCTAGACGTGCAGACCCAAGGAGATGGTAACCGATTCACAGAGCTGGTGCTGGAGAAGCCACTGGACCGAGAACAGCAAGCGGTGCACCGCTACGTGCTGACCGCGGTGGACGGGGGAGGAGGCCAACCCGTCTACACGGTTTCCCTACCAGAAAATTCACCCCCTGGCACCCTAGTGATCCAGCTCAATGCCACCGACCCGGATGAAGGCCAGAACGGCGAGGTCGTATACTCATTTAGCAGTCACATTTCGCCCAGGGCTCGAGAGCTCTTCGGACTTTCGCCTCGCACCGGCCGGCTGGAGGTGAGCGGCGAGTTGGACTATGAAGAGAGCCCAGTGTACCAGGTGTATGTCCAAGCCAAGGACTTGGGTCCCAATGCTGTGCCTGCACACTGCAAGGTGCTGGTGAGAGTGCTGGATGCTAATGACAACGCACCGGAGATCAGCTTCAGCACGGTGAAAGAGGCGGTGAGCGAGGGTGCGGCCCCTGGAACCGTGGTGGCTCTGTTCAGCGTGACTGATAGAGACTCAGAGGAGAATGGGCAGGTGCAGTGTGAGCTCCTGGGAGACGTGCCGTTCCGCCTCAAGTCTTCCTTCAAGAATTACTACACCATCGTGACCGAAGCCCCTTTGGACCGAGAAGCTGGCGACTCCTATACTCTGACAGTGGTGGCCCGCGACCGGGGCGAACCTGCACTCTCCACCAGTAAATCGATCCAAGTTCAAGTGTCAGATGTGAACGACAATGCGCCGCGCTTCAGCCAGCCGGTCTACGACGTGTATGTGACAGAAAACAACGTGCCTGGTGCCTACATTTACGCGGTGAGCGCCACGGACCGAGACGAAGGGGCCAATGCCAAATTAACCTATTCTATCCTCGAGTGCCAGATCCAGGGCATGAGTGTCTTCACCTACGTGTCCATCAACTCAGACAACGGCTACTTGTACGCCCTGAGATCCTTTGATTATGAGCAGATCAAGGACTTCAGTTTTCAAGTGGAAGCCCGGGACGCCGGCAGCCCCCAGGCACTGGCAGGCAACGCCACGGTCAACATTCTGATTGTAGATCAGAACGACAATGCCCCCGCCATCGTGGCGCCCCTGCCGGGGCGCAACGGGACTCCAGCCCGCGAGGTGCTGCCTCGCTCTGCCGAGCCGGGCTACCTGCTTACTCGCGTGGCAGCCGTGGACGCGGACGACGGCGAGAACGCCAGGCTCACCTACAGTATCGTGCGGGGCAACGAAATGAACCTATTCCGCCTGGACTGGCGCACCGGAGAGCTCCGCACTGCGCGCCGGGTCCCAGCCAAGCGCGACCCCCAGCGGCCTTATGAGCTGGTGATCGAGGTGCGTGACCATGGGGAGCCACCACTGTCTTCCACAGCCACCCTGGTTGTTCAGCTGGTGGATGGAGCCGTGGAGCCACAGGGCGGGGGCGGGGGCGGAGGTGGAGGGCCCGGGGAGCACCAGCGCCCCAGCCGCTCTGGCGGTGGAGAAACTTCACTGGACCTCACACTCATCCTCATCATCGCGCTGGGCTCAGTGTCCTTCATCTTTCTGCTGGCCATGATCGTGTTGGCCGTGCGCTGTCAAAAGGAGAAAAAACTCAACATCTACACCTGTCTAGCGAGTGATTGCTGCCTCTGCTGCTGCTGCTGTGGCAGTGGGGGCTCCACCTGCTGCGGCCGCCAAGCCCGGGCACGCAAGAAGAAACTCAGCAAGTCCGACATCATGTTGGTGCAGAGCGCCAACGTCCCTAGCAACCCGGCCCAGGTGCCGGTGGAGGAGACCGGGAGCTTTGGCTCCCACCACCACAACCAGAACTATTGCTATCAAGTCTGCCTCACCCCGGAGTCCGCCAAGACCGACCTGATGTTCCTGAAGCCCTGCAGCCCTTCCCGAAGTACAGACGCTGAGCACAATCCCTGTGGAGCCATCGTCACCGGGTACAGCGACCAGCAACCAGACATCATTTCCAACGGAAGCATTTTGTCCAACGAGGTAAGGCTGAAGCGAAAGAACCATCATCTCTCATCTCCTCCATCAGAAAGCCTCCTCTAGCCTGGCCCTGTATCTCTTAAAGTGCACTGTGTATTTTTAGGGTGTTAGCTGGTTTGTAGGGCTGTGGGAAGGCGAGAATATGGAGTCACCTTTTCTCACCTGGTGAAGTGTAACCTAACTTCCGTGTTGTTCTTGACTGAGCTCCACCCCTTTGCCTTTATTTTGATTCCCTCCCACTTTGCTTCTTTAACACCTTGCAGCTTCTGCCCCCCCCCCCCCACCATACTTAAGGGCCTGCCTTCTTTGAAACCTAGGGGATTTAAGAGAAAAAGCTTGAAGAGAGAAGGAAGGGGTGGGGGAAGGGCTTCCTATCACCGACAAAGGTCTTTTTCTCTCGGCATCTGTCCCAGGCATTAATAAAGTTGGTTCAATTTTGTTTTTCTTTTTCGCTGCTTTCAGTCGCGTGCACAACTGAGCTATAGATTGTTTAACTTTATATGATTGCCTAAATTGGATCGCATGTTTTAGTGACCCGTTCCTTCTCTGAGGAAAAAGGGGGAAAAAAAAAAGCCTTCAATTCTGCTCTGGACAGCTTTAACACAAGGTCTTGAAGCCGAATGCCCACACAGTGTGAATTTGAATGAAGTTCCTTTGGCACCAAACCCTGTAAGAGTAAACCAACTGAAAGGTTGAACAATTGTCTTAAATATATCGTTTCAGTAATAATTACCTCCTTGGCACTGTGTTTTGTGAATAATCGCCCACTGTTGGTTTTCTTCATCAAAGAATTTGACTTGTCAATTCCGGTTTCTTTTTAAAAGGTAGAGACATAGTGGCAAAGTTGGAGGGTAAAACAAAGTTTGAACTGAGGTATGTGGGCTGTGTGGCGCTTGCAGAGGGCTTCCTGAGGGGAAGGTGGGGGAAAGATTTATGACAGTCTTTCTTGGCATCTCCTTATTTTGAGTCTCAGATATAATTCATTGACTTTCATGAATATTTGTACAGCTCATCTGTATCTTAAGCACCTTTTGAAAATAAACAACAAAATAATTGGAGAAAATATCCAAACTTTTGCTTATTGAGCGTGCTGTTTTTCTTGTGTCCATCAGTATGCACTTAAACACCCTGTAGGCTGTTGAAGTACAAGACACAGAATTCAACTCGGGTAACTCTGTGGTAGACACAACAGTTTATCAAGCCTAGCTATGAGGTTGTTTGCATTCTCCCTTTAAAGCAAGACACACTTACTGTGCACCAGGTAGTTTGCTTTTTCTTCTTTAAGCCTTTATAAAGAGCTGAATTAAGGAAATCTAGATCCAAATGTCTCTACACATTTCTCCTGCTCTTACCCAGCAATCACCATGCTGTGGTCTTATGAAAGCCTGAAAATTCATTAAAATATACACCTGTGCTTAAATCCAATAGAGTTCTTATTCTCAGAAGCAAAAGGACCATTACAGCCTCTGAATTTTAGTGCTCTTTATTTATTTATTTATTTTTTCCTAGAATAAACACCAGCGAGCAGAGCTCAGCTATCTAGTTGACAGACCTCGCCGAGTCAACAGGTATGAACTCTTTGCAATCCTTAGCTTGGTGTGTGAACTGTTTCCTACCTAGTAAAAGTAGGAAGTATGTGTGTTAATTACATATTAAAAGACACATTGTATAAAGAGTGTGATCTAGATCAGAGCATAAATAGTGTGTATAATTTATTTATCTTTGTACTCTTGGCTATGTAATTTGTTTCTGTTTATATAAAATTATAAAATATTTTGCCAGTTTCCATGACTTTTCCATATACGTGTTCATATACATGATGACTATGTCATAGACATGTACTTAGATGTAGTCATAGAATAATGTCCAACTTCATGTTTGATGTTCCAATCGACTGTGAAAGCTTTGAGATTTAAGTGGGAAAAAAATGAGCTTCATGTGGAAATAAAGGTACAGAAAAATTCCGAGAGTCTGCAGCACACATCTGTGACCATGTGGTGGCAGAAGAATATTTTTTGTGTTTCTTTACCTTTCTTTTATTCTTTTTAAATTCTAACATTCTCCTTTTTTTGTGTTTCTAGTTCTGCATTCCAGGAAGCTGACATTGTAAGCTCTAAGGACAGTGGTCATGGGGACAGTGAACAGGGAGACAGTGATCATGATGTCACCAATCGTGGTCAGTCAGCTGGTAAGTGTGATCAAATAGCCATCTAAAGGTCCTTTCTATAGTTGTTTATTTAAATGCAACTACAAAGGATGATGGCTTAGGTAATGATCTGTCTTCTATTTGTCATTGTATACTTAAAAGAAAACTGTGAAAAGTGTTACTTTTCACTTTGGAGTGCTGAGGGTAGGAATTACTTAAGATTATCAAGAATTCCTTCCTTGTGCAATGTTCTTTTTAATAGGATTTTGTCACATAGAGGTATCCACATATCTCTCAACTAGTCCAGTTCCCTGTATTCAAACATTTAGGGTATTACTAAGCTTTTTTTATAGGGGAGGTAACTGAGGTAAATTAACTTATTGAGTATCATAAGGGCTACAGAAAATAAATGCATGACTGGGCCCTAGAATCCAAACTCCTTGCCTTCTGGAGAACTGCAATTTTCATACCACGTATCACCAGAGAAGGAATGATGTTCAAAAGTCACAAATAGGCTGAGGGTCTAGTTCCCATTCCTAGGTCTTTCCCATTCAGAACATTAGTAATAGACAATTTGTAATTAGTATTGTTGCAACATCTTTGATCTCTTTGTATTTTGACAACCATTAAAATTTGAACTCAAGCATTTGTCTATGTGGGTTAACCTGTGGGCTACCTAATGGTCACAGGTGGCAGTTTAATACAGTATAACTTTTAAAGGGAATTTTACTTCAAATTTCACTATATGAGCTTGACCATTGATGATGTGTAATATATTCTCATACTAATTACTAATGTTAAAAACTCATAAGGAAAAAAATTAGATAGCTTAGAATAAAAATAATTTCATAACATCATTTGATTTCCTCACTTTCATTTGGATTTCAGCCATGAAATATATTTGCTGAATTGTCTTTCTTCCTAATTCTGTGTTTATTTGACATGTGAGGAAATGGAAAGCCTGGGGCATTCTTGAAACATCTGAAAAATGTTCATCACTTGGCTACCTCTGGGTGAAACTTAGCTCTCTTGATACTTAACCTCGATTTTATTCTATAAAGTGATGGAGTTCCTTATTTTCAAGGTGATATTAGTCCTAGAGAGCACTCATTCCTTAAAATAGTTGGTAGCCCTGGGAATGGTGCTGAGGCAGTGTGTCAAAGGCCAATGCACGCCCTGTAGGACCTGGCAGCAGTGGTTGCTACAAGCCTCCCAGTTGGCTAAAGTGGGCTCTGTCTGTGGCTGCTTAGTCTTGGGAAACCCGGGCAGGAGGAAAGGAAAAAGAGGCTGCTCAAGGGTCTCTTTATATTGCTGCAAGTCATTAATATGCAGACCTAATGAGACTTGAGAACTGCCAAGAATCCCCGGAGGTCCCTGCCCCTTGCGGGCCTTCATGCTAAGTGAACAGAGCATCTATTTAGTGTCTGGGATCCTGACAACAAACCAGACCTTGCCAGCAGTTTATATGTGAGTACAAAGTCCCTTTCATTTTTGCCCTATATGTGGTATATAATTTATTGTTATCACTTAAAAACTGTACATTTAGAACTATTCATTTCTATCTTCCCCAAGTTTTTAGTTTAACCCCATCCTTTCTTACAACAAAACGTTCAACACACACACACACACACACACACACACACACACACACACACACACACACACAAAAGAAATCTACTTCATGTTACTTTGCATGTGTTTTATTTCTTTCCCACCCACTCCCTTTTGTATTTTTCTTTCTTTTTCTTTAAGTAGAATCCAGTCTCTTTGAGCATTTTAGCCTAGTCACTTAGACATACATAATGAGCCTAATAACCAATGCAAAGGGAGAAGAATGGAGAAACCTCAAGGAAGACTAAATCTGTTAGATATTCCTGTTACCATGTCTTCATGGTAGCTATTTTATTTCACATAAACAGTGTTGCCATTTTGTTAATGATTCTTTCAAAGAATTTGGGATTTCAGATCCTTTTAAGGAGCATTAAAATGCAAAAATGTGTTCTGCAATGCATTTTAACTAGGCAAGGCAGTTTTTAGTTTTCATCATCAAAGTGCTGAACTTTTTGCCCCCATATCTAAGTTGTTAAATGTGTAAAAGTGTTATAGAATTACCACTCCATTTATGCATCTCAGTGGTTACAGGGCAGACACAATATACTGGGCAAAATAATTGCTGTTTTTCAGTTTTAAGAAAGCACTTACAGTGAGAAGTAATTGCACCTTAGTGTTGAATTGATCAGTTGTCATATGCTTAATTTTATACTAAGAAGTATTCTGAGTGTTTTTAATGTAAGAATCTGAATGCATAAAATTAAAATGCCTTTTACTAAGTGACGTTTTTCAGTTCATACTACTGTTTTGTGTTATAAACCTCTCAGCATGTAGCAGAAATATTTCAGAAGTGAAGTTTGCTCCAAAAAATGTGATTTATTTCTTGGTAAAGGCAATTTATGCTGATCTTCCAAATTTACAAATTTAGGCAATTAGGCAAATCTCACTAAACGTGTTAGGAGAAAATGTAAAATGATCAGAGTAAAGGTGGAAAGATTAAAAATCCCAAATTCTTTCTTTTAGCTTGTGTCTCTTGTCAGTTCACAATGTAGCTTACTGTTTCACCTGTTCAAACTGACTAACTTTTGCTTTACTTCTTCGATTTTTCTATGATAAACTTACTTTATACTTATTTATTTCCATACAGTATGTATCTATTCTTTCCTGAATTGTTTCCTATTGTTTTTCCTTTATTTTCTCCTTCCTATTCTTCTGCTGTCTAAGCCTTCAGCAGCCTGAAGCCTTCTTCACAGAAAGGCTTCGGACATGAAGGCAGCTGCAGAGTCACATGAGCCTTCTCAGTTGGTCACTGCACCTGGCTCTATCCACAAAATTCCTGGGATTGACCACCACTCTGTAGCACTTTGCTTTCTATAGCCCTGTCAAGGTGCTTTCCGTTTTTTTCAGGGCACTATTGATGTATCGGTTAGATATGACAGACGTCCAGGGAGATGTGGCGAAGGCTTGCTTGAGCTATCACAAGAGGGAAAACCGATTAACTGCAGCCAAAGGGCTAAAAAGTAGATTTAATAAAACATATTTCTGAGCTTCGTTAGTAAGTCAGTATGTTAAAAGGTTTATTTTCCTATCTTAGAATAAGGGTATAGCTAGCATCCTAGCTAAATGATTTTAAACATTAGTAACATTATTGAAGTATATTTACACAAATCTATTTAGTGGTACAAAATAGGTTTTTATTAAAAGTGTATGCTATGAAAATTGTACAAGAGCTGTGAATTTATTTTAATGCCTTTCTCTTTAAAAAATATGGTAGAAATTGCCAGCATTGTCTTACACCATTTTGTTAAAATAATTAAAGATATTTATTCATCAGGCATGAAAAACTATTGAATATAAATTTAAAAATAAAATAGCTAAAATTATAATTTTTCTAAATAAAATAAGTAAAAATATCAATTTTTGCATTAAACTAGTGGGCAGCTACAGCATCTGCAAGAACATTCTTAGCTTTCATGAAGTAAAATATCATTTTCTTAATTCCAGTAAGATTCCAGATGTTAACAAGAAAACCTTTGCCTTATAAATACAGGGAATTCACACCAGTTGACTACAAAAGTTTGTTTGTGTTTCTGATGAACCTATGAGCTACAAACTAAGAATGTGAGGAGGCTTATAATTGGAAAAATGGAAAAGAGAAAATGTTGAGAGAAAACTGACAGAACCATGAGCAGTTTGAAAGGGATAGGGGGGGGATAAAATTCATAGGAAGGGATAAAATTTTAATACACATTTTATATGTTAAGGAATAATGATAAATACTTGACCCTCGCATATTCCTGAAAATTATAACCTCCTTTTAGCTGCAGTTAATCTCTATATAGTATTTTGGGATGCTTTGAAAGATGTCTGGAATTTTTCTCAAAAACTAAATTTGTTTTCTCATACTTACTGAAGGTTTGAATAGAAAGAAGTAATGTCTTAAATTATCAGAAAGGAACACAAGTAGGATAAACCTCTAATTTTCTTAATCATAACATTTGTCAGCAGAACCATCTACAGCTATTGTATAAAATACATTAAAGATACCTTTAAGATACATGTATCCTAAAATTTATCCATGTCTGTCTTTGTAAAACACCCAGTCCCTCATATCGGCTGTTATAATTGCAGAATAGCTTATTCCTGAGGACCAGAAAGAAATGACTGGATACAGTGATTGCAGTAAAAATATGTATCTTAAGACATCTTGTAGTTGTTATGAAAATTTAAAAAATGTGTCCTATGATTTTCAGGTCTTACACATGACTTAAGTTTAAGCATCAATGTATTTGAAAGAGAAAACAGTAAGTTAAAGTTATTAAATCTTGAGCCTTCAATTCAAGCCATAAGAACTAGCCAGATCAGTGTGGATGCTCTGAATTGCATCACAGGTAATGAATTAGCATCCCTGTCTCGGATGTGTTCAGCTTTTCACAAGAAAGTTAAAGGCTCTTCTATGTATTTGGTAATTAAAGTTGCACAGGCAATGTGACTAATGATGAATGATAAAAGGACATTGTTAGTCATCACACAGCTCCCCTGCATGAGGACCCTTAATGGGATACATTTATTTCATTCTAAACTATTTATCTAAATGACAAATGAAAAAAGAGTCTGTTTTCTATTAATTTCTCTGTTCCTGATTTGAAGTTTATTGATTATGCTGTGGTTTTCATTTTCATTTCTATAACTGATTTTCCTCATGAGAAATTCATCCATTCATTTTATTGATAAAACTGGTGAAATACCCTGGCCCTATTTAAGAGACCTCACCTTCTATTCACTTATATATAATGATATATAATATTGCCAAGAAAATTCCTTTCTATAGGCTCAAAAATTTATTTAAAACATTGCTTACCAATTTTCTCTTTTGCCAAGTGACACTGTTTTGTACCAAGCTTTCAATATTCCTTATTTTTTGTTAATAACATGCTATGCATACTTTTTATCCATTCTCCGTCCACACATTTTTTGCATAACATTAGGAAAATTTAACCAATCTCTAGTAGTGAGGAGATATAGAAAAAAAATCACCAGTTTGCAAGACAAAACACATGTACAACTAAATATATAATAAATATAAAGTAATTTCTATCATGCGCCTTCTGGTAGCATCAAGAACTGTCTTACCACTGGCATATTGGATTACTAATAAGGTGACAGCAATGTGAATTACAATGAGTGCCTGGACATGAATACATAAAAACTTACAAATAGCTGGACTTTCATATGTTTCATGTGTCATATTTGTCAGATTTAAAATGATATGCATCAATCATATGAAGAAAATATTAATTGGAAAATCATGCATTCTCATCTATCTTTCAATAATCTAAGAATTCTACATTAATATTTTGAGCTTAAATATCCATAATTCTTTAAAGTTATTATCTCAGATTTATTTTAAAATTAAATACACATAATCAGTTTTTCTTAAATGTGATTATATGGTTTACAACAGCCTTCTTCCGCCCATCACTAAATATATAGGCAAAACTTAACTACCAGTTGATCCAAATATAAGTCTTATTACTCGGTTGCTGCCTATGCAACTTATGAGCTTGTATTAGGGATGTTCTCTTTCTTGTTTAGCATGCATATTTTCTTGCAGAAATAAGATGGGTCTAGAGTGTAGGGAAACACCTCCAGGATCTCTATTCTGTTCCTTGTCAGATTCTGTAATCGCAGCTTCAGTATTTAAACTCTTCAGGAGATTACCTGTTAGTAACTCACTTTCAGGCGTGTGCATGGTAATCAACAATAGGATATGATAACCAAATATGTATTTAGGATTATACATAAATTTCTTTAAAATGAAAAGTCATTATTCAGTGTGATTCACATGTAGTAATTAATTTGGTGTTGTTTCCTCAAGAAGTAACTTTGTTTGTATTTAATGGCCTTCAATTTTAAAAAAAAAAAAAGGTCAAAATGGTATGTTTCATTATTTTGAAATATTTGTCTTTTGTAAACATTTTTCAAGTATACTTTCATTTAAATCAGTGTGTAACATGGTACATCAGTTGAAACATTAAAACTCCTTTGAAAGCTAGAGATTTCTAGATATTGGTGCGATTAAGACCCAACTATACTCATTAAATAATTGTTCTGTTAATTGTAAAACCCCAGCTTTTCATACATTTAAAAGACTTTATGATATAAACTAATGATGCTTTAGTTATTTGAAACTAATCAAAATTGTACTTATCAGATGGCTCAGTGGGGAAAGGTCCTTGCAACCTGTCTTGATGAATTGAGTTCCATTCCTAGTAACCACATAGTGTAAGGAGAGAAGTCACTCATGCAAGTTGTCACCTGACCCAACCTTCACACATATGACATAGTATGTACACACAAAGAAGAAAATGGATATAATTTTAAAACACTAGAAAGGTTTACCAATATCCTAATAGTCAATAAATGTACTAGCATGCTTAGAAAAGCACTGGAATGATGTTTGTCTACATTCTCTTCTGTATTGTGCTCTATACCAAATGAGTATCAGGCTGGTGGCAACTGACTATACATAGTTCCAGATTTTTGGAATCTAAGGCAGGACAGTTAAGAGTGTCAAACTAACCTAGGATACTTAGCGATTTCTAGGTCAGCTTGGACTATATAGAAAATCCCTGTCTCAAAAATCAGAACAAATGAAACAAAAAAAATTAGATATCAACCCACAGCTCTCAAAAATTCTTGAACTAGTGAGATAATTGAGTCAGTCAAGTGCTTGTCTTTGAAGCTTGAGATGAGGAGTAGTGACAAAGAACCAAAGTACAAATAGCTGGATTGGATGTGGTGGCATTTGCAACCCCAGTGCTGGGGAAGTGGAGACAGGCAAAACCTTAGCACTCGTTGGCCAGACAGCATAGCTGACTAGGCAAGGTCCAGGTCAGTGACAGACTCTTTCTCAAAAGAAAACAAACAAACAAAATATAGTGGGTGGAATCTGAGGAATGACATCTCTTAAATACACATGCATATACAAATAGTTACGTGCATGTCTACACACATGAACACACACATAATACATACAAATTCTTGTACATGATTCAAGAACTAGATGTACTTTCTTGGTCACAATCACATTTAATAGTCTTGTTTGTCTAATAAGTGTGAAAAAGTTTGTAGCGTCATTTTCAATCTTGATATATAAGTTTGTGTTGACTAGGACAACCATTTACATGAGCACTAAGGAATATGTCAATATTATCTGTAGTGGATTCCCACTGCATTTGGTTACCTTGGCTACACTAATTATAGTCATTTTTTTTTTGTTTTTGGTTTCTGCAAGTTGTATATAAGCAAATTATAGGCATATAGATAGCCCGAGTTCCAGGGCCAGATACCGTTAGGAAGTCATTCCCTAGGAAACTAAGAACCATACTATTCCCTGTGTTCAAAATGAACAGAATTCTCACTATTGGCAATTTATCAATTTGGGCTGAATTTCTGTTGAATTTCACTTACCATTTAAAATCTAAAGTCTATAGTCTAGCTGTTGTCAGAGCCTGCATACCCTTTCTGTGTTTGTAGGAACATAAGCAGATGCACTGTTAGAGGATGTAGATTAAGAAGCCCCCACAGATGGGATTTCATTATATTATCAGACCAGGAGAGCTTTTCAAAAATAGCCTTTATCCATTCGTCATTTGCTCAACTTTTAAGAAGTTGACACACAGCATTGTTTTTCCACCAATATTCTGAGTTTAGAAACTCTCTGTGCAACTTCTTTGCCACAGACTCTCAAGTTTCATGTTTGCAGATCATTTATCCTGTTTTAAAAGATACAGAAAATGATATTAAGAGGCCTTTTGTTGTTGGTTCCATAGGATTAGGAGAAACCTTAGTGAAACGTTTTCACCCACAACTACAGGATCTGTAGGCTTTTCCCCACTGTACAGATACCCATGCTGACTACACCAGGTGTTTCTCGTTTCTTCCCTTTTCCTCTCTATGGTTTTCTCTTTTTTCAGGTATGGATCTCTTCTCCAACTGCACTGAGGAATGTAAAGCTCTGGGCCACTCAGACCGATGCTGGATGCCTTCATTTGTCCCTTCGGATGGACGCCAGGCTGCAGATTACCGCAGCAACCTACATGTCCCCGGCATGGACTCAGTGCCAGACACCGAGGTCTTTGAACCTCCCGAAGCGCAGCCTGGATCAGAGCGGTCCTTCTCCACCTTCGGCAAGGAGAAGGCCCTGCATGGCACCCTGGAGAGGAAGGAGCTGGATGGATTACTGTCTAATACACGAGCGCCTTACAAACCACCATATTTGAGTAAGTATCACATGAAAGCTTGCATCAAAGTAGTTCCTCGTAAGAAGTAAAGATCCACATTCTTATTGCTGAAAACAGTTTGAGTTCTTAGAAATGTGGATGAAAATTATTTTTAGGTTTAGGCAGAACCCTAGGATGGAAAACTGATACAGTTAGCAGGAAGGTGGGCTGCTAGGGCTGTATTTACAACTAAAACACGGGTTTGGCTTTTATGAAAAGTATCTTCAGATGTTCCTTATTTCCCTAGAGTGGGGAACCGTTGCTTACTTGATTTCTATGTAATTTGAAGGGATAATCAAAGGCAGAGTCCTTTTGGGTACTGTAAGTTATTCCTGGTATAGAACTGAGGGACTTACCAGCTCATACCAGACAAGCACTGAACTGCTATGTTCCCCTGGTCTTGCCTCATGTTTCCTGTTGATAATTGACTGGTGTCATAAGCTAACTGTGGTTTTATCATAACGAAATTAAACACATTAGACAAAATTTAGAAAATAGCATAGATGTAGGCCTCATGTTGAGCTTTCACTAGAGATTAGGGTTTTGCTGGTAAGGACTCAAGTCCATAATTTGAGCCAGAGATGCTGTGTGACAGAGGGACAAATAATCTTGTAGCATCGAGACTACAGACAATATGACCCTTACTTCAATATAGAAACTGTATTCTCCAAGTGGATTATCTTACACAGCCGTGTGACCAATAAAGATACTTGGAGTTTCTATGATAGGTTTCCTTTAGAGGATCTCAGTAAGGAAATTATCCCATTTAATATCTGGTCCATGACCATCAGCTGCTTTTAGTTAATGGATAAAGATTACTTATAATGTAGTTCTTCAACTCAATCAAAAAATAGAAATCTGCCAAGTATTGAAAAGTCTAATGCATTTGGCATATTCTTTTATCTTCTAATATCAGGAAAATATCTGCTGGATCATAAACCAGAAATATAGATTGAGTAACATTGGAGATGTGTCATTTCCACTGGACTGATAAAATAGGAAGGATTAAAAAGACTTGATGAAAAGAAAATAAACTGAATATATATATATATATATATACATATATATATATATATTTATAAAAGAGACCATGTAATGCAAAAATCACATAATAAATCTATTGAAGCCATGCCTTCTAATGTAGGACAATAAGAGCAGGCAAGCATTAAACTGAGGCCTTCATGAGATTCATACATTGTGATGACAATAGTGACCATGTTATGTTTTATGAAAGATTGTGTTCAGATTCTCAAATTACATAGGAACACTGTTGACTCCACGAGATACATTGTTTTAGTATTGCAGAGTCTTTTAATTATGCCTTTTATGAATCACTAATATCTGATTAGCCTTCATTTTATTTATACTATACAAAGAGCAAAGTATATAAATTATTAAAATCTAAGATCCAAAATTAAACATATTCAGACATTCTAGCTTATTCAAAGAGAGCAAAAATCAAATTTTATAAAGGAGAACTATGAAAAGGTCTCCTCAAATTGAATTATAGAGCTGAAACTGTTCTTAAAAATAAAATGTTTCAAAATAATATGAATAATCCCACCTTGTTTTGTGTAACTTAAGGAATATTTTTAATAGAAAACCATTCCATTACTAGCTGTTTCAAGAGGAAAAAATCAAAGGATATATAATTCTAAGGAATTGAAGTATATACTTTTAAATTAATACAAATATGTTCTTTAAGGACATATTGTCAGGTAAATTCATTACACAGATAATGGAAAAGCAACTCCCTTTTATAATATTAATGAGTACAATACTTGGCAAATTACACTTCTATGTAAAATTGTAATCTGTTACATATAAGAAAGTATTTTCATTACTGCCTAGTTTTTGTTTTTAATAATGACCATACTAATCATATTTATTAATGAATAATAACACTGTCACTAATTTCCTGTAAATTTCTCTATTTTGTAAAAATCTTTCATTCTCATTTAGAAGCCTGAATTCAGGTATCTTTCATTTCATAAGTATGTGTGTTAACACAATTAAATAAAAAATCTATTATTACACCTTGTAAATTTAAATTTGGTTGAATATTGGTTGAACATGTCTGTTGAACCAAATTAGTCTCTAATTATGGTCTATATACTTCACTATCAATTTTAGCCCACTAATACTGTTCTAAATCCTCAATGTTTGAATTGAAGTGTGATCCTAGTAGAGGATAAACAGAAAAAATATTTGTACATATAATGTACTTAATTCACCCTGGAATTTAAACATGTATGAATTTCTCCTTTTAAAATATAACAATATTTTAGTGATCTATGTTATGGTAGACTCAGACAATCACCCTTAATGTTTTATATTGACCCAGACTCAATGGACAGAGTCAATTTTATTGTTAGTATAGTACACAACACACTATACACTCAAGCTGTTCCTGACCATCCCCAGTCATATGGTGAGATGGTTTAATACTGTGCCATTTATCATCAGGAATGGAAATATTCTCATCTTCTAAATTAAAAACCACATCCCTCATATGATTAAAAAAGCTAAAAAGTGGCACTAATTACTTGCTTTTAATCAGAATGTTTAGATAATTATTGAGGCTGCTGTTTTACTTTTGTTAACTACACGTTTAGTTTTCTAATGAGTATAATATACATTTAATGTTTAGGAAAGTAGCTATGTATTCAGTAATTTTTAAAAGTTTCCAAAAATGTGTAGTGAGTAACCACTGTAATTGATTTAATAATGATTAGAAAAGAGCAATACGGACACAAATGTCATTCATTGTCTGTGCCAGTAACTTTTGAGTCTGATCCCACTGATAGTGTTTTTTTTTTTTATCTATATTAAACTTTGAAGAAAAAGGAAAGATACAAGGTTCTTTAATACAATGAAAATAAAGTTCACTTTGAAGTAGCTATCTAAGCCAGTCACATATTCTTTCTGAAGGCATACAAAATAAACATCCACAAAGTTCTGCATGATCTGTTTATTCAAGTGGAACTTAAAACAACTGGCATCCAGTTGATCACACCTATCATTACCTCCTTAGTCACAAACACTGTTTTCCTACTTACATTACAAAAAATGGCCTGTTTTCCTACTTACATTACAAAACTATGGACTTCATACTTGTGGCAAAACTGTGTAAGTCGGAAACAGATATATTACCTAGATTTACCTGAATCTTTTCACTTTAGTTTAGTTTCACTTTGCATTTATTTTATTAGAGCAATAAAAATCCTAAAATGCCAATTTAACGTTTAGCTAAAATTAATAATTGCTTTCACCAATTTAAAATGGGAAAAGACACTCTCTGGAGATTAAGAAATGACATTGCACTTTTGTCATAAGGATTCTTAGGATATGTTTTTAATTATAGACATTTTATTTAAAGTGATTTCATCTTTCAAATGACACAATCCATTACTTGAAACAATCTGGCTTGTCTCAGAAAATGAGAAACAGAAATAATTTAACCACAGAGATGAGAAGATGGATCAGTGGGTAAATGATTGCCTTGCAAGCAGGGTAGGATCTTGTCACCCAAATAAAATGTAGGCATGGAAGTAACCCAAGCATGCCACTGTAAGGCCAGCTAATCTAGAGGAATTGGTGAGTTTCAGATACAGTGAGAGACACTCTCTTATAAAATAAGGTAAAGAAGTGATCTAGGAAGACACAATGTCAACCTGCACTGGCCTGCACATGCACCAACACATGCACCCCACAAGTATGGACCCATTCACACTTGCATGTGAGCGTGCATACACACATGTACTCTAAAAATTTAGCTTGAGGAATGTAGTTGATTAATAAATGAGTTACTTATATAACTGACAAAACCTGAATAATTAAAACAATGCTAAGATATATTTGGAATCAATCCTGAGTATATTTTAATGTTAATTTTTTCTTAAGATTTTTGTCAGTGAATCAATGTGGTCCAAATTAGGCAGCATAAGCAATACAGTAATAAATGCATGAGGATACACAGGAAAATTTCCTGATGACTTTATTCTTTTCTTTTAGATATGTTCAGTTGCGTGCTCTTTCCCACTTATCATGTATTTGAGATACAGATTTTTTGACATGTTCAATATATTGAATGAAGTATTAAAACATCACTGATACTATGTTCTTGTAAACTTCTTAAACCTATGGAGTTTTCTAGTTTAGAGGGAACCACTTACTGAAACATACCGTAGTCCATTGGTAGACTAATACTTGTGCAGCAAAAGATCACCTGTCCCACTCTGTTTTTATCAGCTTGTGAATACTTTTAAAATTTTGCAGCTTACTGAGACCACAAGGAAAAGATAAAAGATTTACAATATTGCACCTAAATTAGTGCTGACAGTTTACCTAGATCTCTTCTTACTAAATCCAGTTTTGATAAAAAGATCTTTTTGGCATCTGCTTCTGAGCACTTCCAGCCTCGAGCTGATGGGAAGTGAGGAACATGCTTTGTTTAGTAACATCTCTCCCAATGTCTTCATTATCTCAGTGTGCCTTCTGTGAGTTTTCGTAATTTGCTGAACTCAATAGTGTGTTGAGAGCATATACAGAATTCAAAAGAAAAAGTCTTTTCTTACTGACTGACACTCATCACAAGCGTATTTATGTCACCCCTTGTTTCTACTCCACTAATGTCATAAGTGTAGCAGTACATCCAGTGGTAATTCGACAAAGTAAGTGTTTTTTATTAAAGTATTTTTAAAAAGCATTTCTGTAATATAGTTACAGCCATCTGTAAACGAAGGACAGCCTTTTATGATTTTTCTTTTCTGCAAAATAGGTGTTTTTATGTTCACTTTTCTTCTAGACTCTGTTAATTTTTAATCAAATATTTCTGAAAGCTTTGTTGTTGATCTCTTGTTTTTCTTTCCTCACACTCAAATCCATGAGCCTAATTTACATAAATTTTCACTTAATCCCTTTTTGACAAATCCCTGGTCATTTCATTCTAGTGGTGCTGTTTTTCCATTAACTTCCCTGACTCCAGAATTATGAAGAAA